TCGTTTCAATATTTTTTGGTTGTGGATAGTATGAAGATGTAAAATCACCCAACCAGACCTTGGACATTTTTAGTCTTAACAAAAAAAATCAATATTTTAGAGAACGGTCATTTATATAGGAAAATACAAGAAAATAGGGAGTATTTAGAGGTTTCTGCGGTCGAAAGTTGGTTTTTATGTAAAATGAATATGATATTCAGAATCAGCATGAAAAATTATACTCGACAGTCTATTTTTCATTGCAAAGTATTTTCCATGGAAATCTGATCCCTACTTCCCCTCAACCTTTTATCCATGAGATTTTTCCCTCTAGTCCTCTACGGGTCAAATTTTCATGGAAAATATTTTACAATGAAAAATAGACTGTCTAGTGTAATTTTTCATACTGATACTGAATATCATACTCATTTTACATAAAAATCAACTTTCGACCACAGAAATCTCTAAATACTCCCTATTTTCTAGTATTTTCCTATATAAATGACCGTTCTCTAAAATATTGATTTTTTTTGTTAAGACGAAATATCCAAGGTCTGGTTGGGTGATTTTACATCTTCATACTATCCACAACCAAAAAATATTGCAACGAAAAGAAATCTTGCGAAGAATAAGCGCCACCTTTATGGTTTATATTTTATCGCATATGAGTTCTTTTGAACAAATAATTAAATTTCATTTCAATAAACAAACTGTTAATTTTTGTTTTATGTTAGATTTATCCATATTGTGTTTTTTAGTCAAAACCGATTTTTGTAAAATAGAAGACAGAATGTATGTTCAAATATTTTCAAGATATATCTAATTGTCTGAGAACTGGACAAAAGACTAAACTTATTCTAATATAGCTTTTCTATAATAATTGTAAAAATCTTTACTCTTTTTAGTCATGATCATTCCCTAATAATAGTATATACTTGGTCTAAAATTTTTGAGTTTCTTCATCAGTATCAAATTATCTTTTATGCACTAAAAGTTTAGAAAACCAAATATACTTCAGTTTTCATTGCAGAAGAACATATAGATCATTGAGTTGAAGGAATATTTCTAATCGACTTAAATAGAAATGTATCTTTTCAAAGAATTGTTTAAATTTGTCTTGTTTGGTGATTGATAATAGTACATTTGAAAAATGTTGATTTATATTTTCTAGGATGATTTACCTAATTTGAATTGCTTCTCATTAACATGTTTTTGCTTAACTAATGAATATGATACTCTAATTTTACCTCTTTTACGTCGTATGTCAAATCTTGAAGAATTAACTTTGAATATTACGAACGAAGAACGAAATACATTTATGGATGGTACTCAATTAGATAATGAAATTATTGTTCATATGCCACGACTTTCTAAATTTACGTTTCATATTTGTACTAAAATTGAACTGCATCATTTAGTTAATTATTTATCGAGCGATGATATTCAACGAACTTTTACTAATACAAGATATCAACAAATGGGGTGTATATTATCTTACACGGCAGGTCGTGCTATATGTCATGTTTTTTCGTTACCGTACATGTTTGATCGTCTCAATTATATTGGCAACAATTTTTTACCTATTGTCTTTACTCATGTTAGACGATTGACGGTGCACGATAAAGTCCCATTCCAACATGAGTTTTTCGTTCGAATTGCTCGTTTTTTTCCTTTACTTAAAGTATTCCATGTTCTTAATTTTCAATCACAGAAAGTTGTATCAGACAAACGGAATTCTACTGATAATGAATTGTTTTCAATTGTTGAATATCCTCATCTTGTTACACTTTCCTTGTTTTTATCTCATATTGATTATGTCGAGCAATTTCTCAACGAAACAAAAACACATCTACCTTGTCTAACTACATTAGAGGTCAATTATGATCGATTAACAATTGTAACAGAAAACTTCACAAGAAATATAACACGGCTCAATTGTGCTAAAGTGGAACAATTATGTATTCGAACAATAATAGTACATTCCAAAGATGTTTATGAATATTTTCCTCTGTTGTAATTTTGTTTGTGTTCTCATTAGATTAATAAAATAGATAATACTTAGGGTTAACCAAAAGTTCTAGGCCCAATGTTATTTAGTCGTATAATAAGCTTTAAGAAACTGTCTTTCTATATACTGTGATAGAGAAAAGAATGCTCTATTTTTCTATGCTATTTGATCATATTTCAAGTAATATCATAATAATAAATCTTCCATATGACTTTTTTCGTTATCATTTGTGCACGTAGCACTAGATCACAATGGATGAGGCAGATTATTTTTCAATTCCTCAATGCATTTTATTAACAACCAAAATATACCATAGGATGCAGCGTGGAAAGCTCTACAATTTACATAAGATCACTTATTCTATAGTTGCACTCTGTTTTTAGACTGAACGAGCATTTGAGGGACCCAATTTGTGGCATTGCAAAAATTCGTCGCACAGAATTTTCCCTTTTTTGGATAGAATTACAATAAGCTTCACTGCGAAGGTTGTAGAGCTCTACGTAGGATATCTTGGTCCTGGATTCGAGTATTCCGTAACTGGATTCGCTCACAGTTGGGACCAAAGACCAAACTCTGCGGACCAAGATAGAGCTCAACGAGTTCTATCGAGTGCACTATGTATTTTTTCTGCAAAACCATTCCAACCGCGAGAAAAACTTAAAATGCTGTAAAAAAAATACGCAAAAAAAGCAGATTTTTTCCGTAAAGTGTACCGCGATTCGCTCCCAGCAGGGACCAAAAGCTAAAAATGACATAGATGGATAGAACTCGACAAGCTCTATCCACTGTATACCTTTTGAGTTATTTTATGTGTTTCCATCTCCCCTTAAAATCCCAATACTCCCAGAAAACCTGGGGTGTGACACCTACACCCTGAATGGTTTTTTACTCAATTTATAGAGCAACATCTTTTTTGTTTTCTATTTCTCTAACGAGGGAAAGTCTCCAAGAGATCCATCGCTTTTAAGCCAGAACTATCTGGATCCTAATGAGCTATGAATACTCTGAAAAGAGTTTGAGCCCATAAATTATTACTGTTGAGATAATGCATTTTTAGGATATCCTTTTTACTTCAATTCCGTGGTTATCCTCAAGGACAGCAGAAAAACTTAGTTTCGAATTTCGACTTAAAACTTTGAACACAGTTAGTTCTCAACGAGAATAGTGTAGTGTAAAAGTTTGAGCCTTTTCGATTGGTTTTTTTGGAAATAAGAACATCGAAATCTTCAGATGCATCAGCGATGTGAACAACATGCTGCTACCATGGCTATATCTTAGACTAGGAACAACGAAAAGATCTGAAACTTTTACAATACACTATTCTCGTGGAGATCTAAGTATAATCAAAGTTTCAAGTCGAAATTCGAAACTAAGTTTTTCTGATGTCTATGAGGGGGATCACGGGATTGAAGTAAAAAGGATATCTTAAAAATGCATTATCTCAGCAGTCATAAGCTATAGTCCGAACTCTTCAGAGTATTCATAGCTCATTAGAACCTAAATTATGCACATACTCTCAACTCGAAAGCGATTTGACAGTTGAAAAGGTTTCCTCGTTAGATCGATAGCAAAGTTTTTAAGAGTGTCAACAGATCCTATCAAATAAAACATTACGATTATCGGTTAGAGTACCGCCTTATCTATCTGTGAAATATATAGATTAACTTAGCAATAGAATATAAGTAAATACATTCCAACCCAGATCGAACAATCAGATGGCAAGGTCTTACAAGGATCGTACGCCTGATCATATCTGATCTGATAAGATCAGATGAAAAAGCGTACGCAAAATCGTCGTCTCTGATTTCTTACGCAAGATCATATTAGAAGATTCTTGAAAGATTCTGTTACGTATGAAATACCACTGTAATATTTCGATTAAACTAATATCTCCTTAAAATATCACTAGAAGTTATTCGTGAAAATAAAGTGCATGTAAGGTCTTTTAACGAAAATGTAGTATGATCTTATGCAAGATTCCTTAGACGACGATTTTTTGTCAGATTCTTGTAAGATTTCGTCCATATTGCAAGATCTTACGTGTAGGTCATAAGATCTTATGTCAGATTTTTCGACCTGGGAAGGTAAAATTTCAGAAGCTCAAAACTTTGCAGACAATATATGGGAAAATCTCTCGAACATTTAAGTCGAACCAAATCGTTTCCTTAATTCTTTTTTTAAACGTATTGCATAAGAAATAAGTGAAGAGGTATATTATTTCTTTCTTCTTAACGGAATTTAATTCGAATATCATCCGAACATTTTTGATTTTAATGAGAGATTTAATGTATAGATAGTTATTTTCGATTTGTTTATTAAAACAATATCAGAGTTTAAGATTAGGGAAAGAGACAAAGAAGAATTCTATTATACAAATGGACTTCTTTCCATAATTTTTCATAATAATTTCTGCAAAAAATTTGCCAGATATAACATTAACTTTTGGTCAAAAAAAGGATAGACTTTCTGTGAAAACTTTATTGCCTAACTCTCTCAAAAACAATTGAGAATCTTGAAGAACAATGTCAGATTACAGAGAGATGCACTTAAATATATTTTAGCACATAAACGAAGTCTCTATTCTATAAAATAATTAAGTATTCGAAATGCATTATATTATAGTTCATAAATGAATTAATCTGATAAAATTTTCAATGTTCTTTTATTTGTTTATTTCGTTGAATAAAAATATCAGATGAATATATTCTCAGATGACAAAGAAAAAAAAGTCTATTGTTTTTTTTGTTGAACGAAACTATATCAACTGATTGAACATAATCTTCAAATTGACATATTTTTTCTTCAAGAAAATCAGTTTCAATCTAAAATAAATTTATTAATTATAATAAAAAAATAAAAATAATTTACTTTATCATCTTCCACAACACAACCCATTTGTAATTGTTTAACACCAAAAGCAACTGGTACTAATTTAGCTAGAAATAATATAAAAAAAAATTTCAAAATAAAAATTTTAAAATAAAAATTAATTAATTTGCTAACATTATCCCCAGACGAGATCATCAGCTTCAATTGATCTTACAGATTGTTCCATAGCATTAAGATCAGTTTCATCATCCCGAAGTTTAACATCTAACATAATTATACTTTGAACAATAACCTGTTCTTCTACAAAAATATTTCATTTATAACATATAAAAATTCATTAAAAAAAGAATATTCTTATTTACTTTTAGCTTTTTTTGCTGCATAATCAGCTAAACGTTTTTTTTTTGTTTCTTCACTTTGTTGTTTATCATCTGAACCAAATAATATCAATATCATCATCAGCTGTAGTGGCTGCTTTAAATTCAGCTGATTTCTTTAAAAAGAAAAAGAAATGTTAGATGAAATTATAAATACAAATTAAAAACAAAAAAAAACAATCTTATTCGAACAAAAAAAAATTCTCTGAGGAAGATTAAGAAAAAATTTTCTTTGTTTGTGTTTATTGATTTCTCTCTTTTTATATAAATCTTAACTGATCCCAATAATCGTTTGTTTGTTAAATTCAAGTTGTTCAATACGTCGTCTAAGACCTTCAATCATTTGTAAAATACTTTCAAATGTTGATTCAATTTTTGCTAATCGTTGTACATTTGTTATATTCATTCTAATAGATGATGATTTTATCATTGAATTATTATTATCTTCAATTTTTATAATATCATCAATTTGTTCGCTCGAACTTGTCTGCAATATTTATTAGAAATTTACAACATTTCGACAAATATAAATATACTCTAAGCAGACAAACAAGCAAGGTAATACTTCAATCAAACATCTACACATACAGATGTCAATGTGACAATAATGAACATGTGTATATATATGACTATAGGAGGATTAAGATTAAAAAGATAAACTATAGGCTACGTAGGGGTTTTCAAAGTGGCCCCGGTCCAGATCCCGCTGGGACTGAGACCGGGACTAAAACTTCTTCAGGCTGGTCCCGGTCAGCTTACTTTTATCAAATATCTCTCATATATATTTTCGCATTTTTTACTATATTCTGATTAAAAAAAAAATCTGTAAATCGACTATTTTTGTTTCCATATCCGATAAAAGCCTTTTAGAAATCACAGTTCTGCCATCAAGAATCGAATTTTTTGGGAATTTGAGTAGATTTCCGAGTATCAAAACATAATATATTTTGTTACTAATGCAACAGCAACATTACAACATGTATCCCAAATCATCGACATTAGATGTCAATTGAAACTACTATATTTTAATGATATAGAGTTTATCTATTTTTTTTGTTGATCTAATTGCTAAGAATAACTTCGAAAGAAATTCAAAAGTTTATAAACAAATAAAAAATCAAAATATAATATTTAAAATAAAGAAAGTGAAATATTCTGTCAAATCTGCTTATGATCTCTCTAATCAGTTGAAATTTTATCATCCTATTAATCCAAAGATTACATACATATAATAATAATATAAAATAAAACATGGATTTTTTAATTAAATCTAATATTTAATTTGCAGCAACATTGTGATAATGTATAGGGATCAACTATTGATCACCTACATGAAAAATTTATTTTTCTTTTATTCAAACTTTAGAAGTTTAAAGAAAGAAAAACAAATAATTTAATCAATACATCATGTTTTATCAGTACATGAAAAAAGAAAAACAAAATTTATTATTATTATTATTATTTTATATATTTTTTTCATGTACTGATAAAACATGATGTATTGATTAAATTATTTTTTTTCTTTCTTTAAACTTCTAAAGTTTGAATAAAAGAAAAATAAATTTTTTATGTAGGTGATCAATAGTTGATCCCTATACATTATCACAATGTTGCTGCAAATTAAATATTAGATTTAATTAAAAAATCCATGTTTTATTTTATATTATTATTATATGTATGTACTCATTTACAAGCAACTATTGAACATAGTGTTATTATTTTCTCTATTTAGAGAATCATACAATTAAAACAAATGTTAGAATTTACAATTTCTTGGAAATTATATTGTGGTGGTCAACATTAACATTTGGTTTAACATCGGTATGGTGATATGGTATGGTTCAACATTGGTCGTGCTGATATGGTTATGGTTAAAAACATCGGCATGGTGGTATGGTTTTGGTTCGACATCGGTAGTGGTGACATGGTTATGGTTTAACATCGACATGGTGGTATGGTATGGTTCAACATCGGTAGTGGTGATATGGTTATGGTTTAACATCGACATGGTGGTTTAGGATATGGTGATATAAAAAAAATAATAAAAAATTAGTTCAAACTTAGCACAAGGCATGTTGGTCAACATTATTTATATATAGTGGTTTATGATATGTTATCCAACAACAATTATAATTATAAAACAATATGATATTTATCAATATCAAGTTGGTCAAAATGATACATTTATATCAAAAAATTGGCCAACGTCCAGACGATGGTCGTATAAAGAGACCGAAAATTCGACAAGAGAAAAAACAAAAGAAAAAACAAAATTTTTATTAATATTATTATTTTATATATTTTTTTTCTTGTACTGATAAAACATGATGTATTGATTAAATTTTTTTTTTTCTTTCTTTAAACTTCTAAAGTTTGAATAAAAGAAAAATAAATTTTTTATGTAGGTGATCAATAGTTGATCCCTATACATTATCACAATGTTGCTGCAAATTAAATATTAGATTTAATCCAAAGATTTTTGAAACCACTTTTAGGTATTATTTTATAAATTTTTGAAAATTTTGATAAATTCTAAAGAATTCTATTTAAAATTTATGATCGCATATATGTCTTAGGCGAAATTAAACAGCATTATTGGAAGACTTGAAATTTAAAAAAAAAGATGCAAAAAAATAAAAATGAATAGTTCGTCTTATATATTTATTAAAAGAAGAATAAAGTTGACGTATAAAAAAAAAGAACATGTAAACGCTGTGGTAATAGACAGAGAAGAAAATACAAACAGACGACACATGATATATTTCGACTGACCTATATACTTTTTTTTCTTTCTATATAGTCATTCACTGATCGTCTAAGTTTGAAATAATGTCAAAATATACAGCTGATGAGATTTTGTACATGCAAATACAAGAAGAAGTATGTGCACAATCGTGGTGTAGTGAAATGCTAATTTTTTTTTTTAGATTGCAAAAGAACATAATGAATTACGTCGTCTTTTACGACTTCTTGTGCATGTACGATCTTTAGGTAATGCAACTAATGATATCGTTGCCGATATTGAACAAACAAAAGAAAATTTATATGATTTACATATGGCAAAAAGTAAGGAAAAAACCAAATATTGATATGAAGTACAGCAATATTTATTTTAGAAAATCAAGTTCAAAATATGTCTGAAGCACAAGAAAATTAATTATTTTTTTAAAAGACTAATTTAATTTAATTTAATTGAAAGTATTTTTTTTTATTCTATTATTTCTTGTACTTTATAATGTTTAAATTTGATTAAAAAAAGAGTTAAACTTACAAGGTATTGATTCATTATTGACAATAAAAGGTGGTCACAAAGTTTCGACCCCTCCTTTAGTAAATGAAAAATATTTATATCAAACTCATATGAAGGTATTGATTAAATTATGTCATTTTGTAGAGAAAGAGGAGCTATCATCTGAAAAAAGACGATTTGAAATACATATATATATTGTAAAGTTATCGTTATTTTACTAATTTCGAATGAAAAATTTTTACGTTGCGTTTTTTGCAAAAAACAAAAATATTTTTGTAACACCTGAGCTGGAATAGTTTTCTGTTTTTTTTTATATGGGTGAATAGAGTCTGTCAAGCTCTACAAGAATATGGATATCAACAATTCTGTTGATCCTGTTTTTGATACAAAATTGGAGACAAGTAGAAAGACTAGTAAAAATCTGATATATCATGTATTAAAGAAAGAGCGCTTAATTTCCAATACCTTTAGTCAATCGATTAGTTAGTCTGTTCCTGAAGCTCGAAAATAGTATTTTCATCTACAGTACGTGACAAAATATCTCAAAACATAAAATAATAGACAGAACAGTCGATCTACCAAACTTATTGAAAGATACGTATACTCTGCAATACATGATTTGCCAGATTTTTATTAGTCTGTCTCATTGCTTTCAGGTTTTGTATTCAAAAGAGGATCAAAATTGTTTTTTTTGAATGTCCATATTTTGGTAGAGCTTGTCGAACTCTATCTAATCATATAAAAATATCTACTAAAGATATGTAAAAATCCATATCTCAATCGACTTTGATTATTCAAATATTGCAAGAATATTTTTGTTTTTTGCAAAAAACGCAACATAAAAATTTTTCACTTGAAATTGGTAAAACGACTATAACTTTATAATAAATATATGTATTTCAAACTGTCTTTTTTTCAGATGATACCTCTTCTCTTTCTCTACAAAATGACATAATTTGATCAATACCTTTATATGAGATTGACATAGATATTTTTGATTTACTAAGGAGGGGTCGAAACTTTGTGACTATCATTTAGTAAGAATAATTAAAGCAATGATAAGAATAACAAAAAATTCGAATTGAAATTATATTAGATCGATTTTCATGTTTCTTTTCTTCATCTGTTGTTGCATCAGAAGATAGATCATAAATATTCAGATTAACAAGATAAGCTTTCAATGCGGACACTTTATTAATATCAAAATATTATTGAATTTATAAAGAAATTTTATTAATAAAATAAAGAAATTTCTTGTTGTTTTATTTAATAATAATCCATTTATTCACCTTAGAAATTAACAAACAATGAAAACTAATGCCCCTATCAAAAAAAAAGGCGAATCGGTATGTTTCCAATACTTTTTGGTGGAAGTAAGATAAAGAACTGAGCATTCAAGGGGAAACAACTGGTTTTTTTTTATTTTCAATCAATTTTAAATAAAAAAAAATCCAATCAAGTATATAAAATACAATGAAATGAAAAAAAAAACGAATGCATTAAATCTTGAAAGAAAAAAGAAGTCAATAAAAATCACATTATTTTTTATCTTTTAATCGTTTATTTCTTGCTACCATGATTTTAAAAAATCTTTCTGGCCAAAATCTTCTTAACCAAATTGCTAAATATTGTTGAAATGGTGCAATAATAACATCATTTTCTCTATATTCAATTGCTTTAACAATTCGTTTAGCAACATAATCAGGTTCATATGCTGATGATTTATTATCTTCAATTAATTTTTCATTTTTATTATTCATTCGATTTAATGCTTGTTGACCTAATTCAGTTCGAATATATGATGGACTAATAACACAAACATTTATATTTTGTTCTGCATATTGTTCTTTAAGTTCCATTCGTAATGAATCACTAAATGCTTGTACAGCATGTTTAGATGCTGAATATGAACTACGATCCGGTACAGCAATAAGACCTTGTAAACTTGATATATTAACAATAGTAGAATTTTTTTGTTTTTTTTCAATCATTTTTATTAAAATTAATTTTGTTAATGTAACAAGTGAAAAATAATTTAAACGAAATATATCATTAACAATATCAATTGATGTATCAAATATAGATGAACGTTGACTTATACCAGCATTATTAATTAAACAATCAATTGTTTCATGTTCAAGAATATTCATTAATATTGATGATGATGTTATATGTTCATAATTAGATAAATCAATTTGTATTATTTTTGGTTTTGGATATGTTGGATGTAAATTAGAAAGTTCTTGACGTAAATTTTCAAGACGATCTAAACGTCTTGCTAAAAGAATTAATTGACATTGTTTATTAAAAAGATATTTTGCTAATGCTTCACCAAGACCTGATGAAGCACCAGTAATTAAAATTGTTTTTCCATCAATCTTAATTCGTTTTCGACATAATAATCGAAGAACTATTAATGAACAACAACAACAACCAATTGAAACAGCAATTAACCATATCATCTACAAGAATTATTTTTTTTATTATTAATTAAAATTTTAAAAATAAAATAAAATATCAAATTTCACAAAAAAAAATAGAATTTATTTGTTTAGAAATTAAGAACAATATTGTCATTTATAGATGAAATGTTACACGTGATTGTTTATATAATTGCCATGTTAACGTACCAAAATATTGATATGTTGTATCATATAATTGTATACGAATTAATTCTTCTTTATTTTCGAGTTCTAAATAAAATATAAAATTGAATGCAAAAAAAAAAGAAACAAGAATTTACCTGGATAATGCTAAGCTTTCTTTTGTTTATAAAGATATTTGGCTAAATGAACAGCAATTTTAATAGTCATTTCAGGAATAGTTGATATTGATGGATAAATATGGCCAGAATCTAAGTGTTTTTGAGTTATTAATGAACCAAGTTTCTTCAATGAAAAAATATATGCATTTTCGAAAGTTGATATTATCATTTTTTAACTTTTAGCTCAAGATAGAAGATTAATCTGATACTATATATTTTTCAAAGGCTATCACAAGATTTAACTGAAGTCAATGTACTCTCGTACTTTTCTTTGTCTTGATCTATCCATAACAGACTATGAATCTCTTGAGCCTCCCTTTGCTTATCATTGATTTTCATCAGACGGTGTATTTTTGTTCTACACAATCATATTATAATGATAATTGAATAGAAAGAAGACAATTGTTTTTTAATAAGAAGGCAAGGAAACTATATCTACCCGCTACAGTATGACTATACGAAATATGGATTGATTGAATATAATATAAATCAAGAAAGCATAAAAATCAATCAACGATCAATATGCATTTCAGTGATATTCTGAGATGATACCTATAGTATAAAGTGAACGAAAAGAATGGTAGCCGAAACGATGATCACTGGTATAGATCATCAAGAGAAATTCGATGATCTTTATTTTCGATAAAGTTCGTTCCGACGATGACATGTACAACCAAATATGACAGATAAGTAGTCAGATTTGACAGTCTGTTTGAAACTCTGAAGCATAGTACTGTTGATGTAATCATTCCATAATATAAGAACAATGATGATAATGAATGTTTGACATTTCAAATCTTCTAAGATGTCAAACATTCATTATGATCATTTTTCTTATATGATTATAATAATTATTAGTCGAATATCTTTTCCAAGTGAAAAAAAATGTCAATTTTCGCTATATCTACAGAAAATTCTTATTGTCAGAAATATTGATTTGTTTTATTCTATTCCTAATTTACTATTGATAAGTTGTTCAATCAACATATTAAATTTTCTCCCATAACAAATTATAACAATCAATGTATCAGTATTACATCTGACAAGTTCTCATTTGTCATTGAGTCATTTCATCCTATTTTTCATAAAAATCTTATTGTTATTAATCTGACAACTTTGTAATACAAAGAAAATTATATTTCAAAAGTATATATAATGTCTATTTTCTACTATACTAATCACTACCTCGATGTTCTCTTAAAGAAATTTAATAAAAATAATAAAATTTTCTTTTAATTTGATTATATAACAATATTATACAATAGTCAATAACATTCTCTTGCCTACAGTAATTTCATCAATCTAAAAATTATTTAAAAAAAAAATTACTTCAGCAATAAGTAAAAACAGATCATCTTCCACATGACGAACTGCACATGTCATTGTAGCTAAAGCAATAGCTGAAAATATATGAGCATTACTTCTTAGGCCTAGAAAAAAGAAAAAGATAATCACAAAAATATAAATAATTATCTAGAGTAATAATACCTGGATGACATATTTTATCCTTATACATGATCGATTTAAATGGACTACCTAATGCAAATATACATCTATCCTGAACAAAATAAAAATATGAAAAAATTAAATGAAGAAATATGATTGTTACCTATTAGTACGGTTGATTTTTTTTTGGTATAATCAATTATTGTTGAAAGATCTTTAATTACTCTTCATTTTTTTTTATATAAGATGCTTTAGGATCTTCTAAATCACTTTGAAGTCGATTCTACATAATAATAACATTCAATATATATTTTTTTAAAAAATCACTTGCTTTTTCTATTCATCGTTCAAAGCAAAAATAAAAATTAGAACAATAAGTCCATGTGTATCATTGCATGTGTTACTAAATCAGCTATACCACAGGCTGTCTACAGCCGAATATTTTTATTTAAAATTGAATTGATATGTCTTATGTCTTATTTACTTTACCAGAATCAATAAAAAGATATGTATTGTTACTTAATCTTTTATTTGTTTTACGAAGTACTGCCAAGAGACCGACAAGAATAATTGTAGTTGTATCTAAATTAAAGAATTATTCTATTTTTGTCTTAATAAATCTATTGAATCGTGTCAAATAATCAGAAATTCGAGATAAAGGTAAAGATAACAAAAATAATCTTCATCTATTGCGTTTCCATTTTCTGGAACATGTATTGATAATTATTATCCTTATTTGTGTCATATTCCGTGACCGTTAAAACATACTACTAGACAATATTTTTCAAAGATTGATTTTGATTATATAGTTTGACTGTTTAATTTCTCATAGAAATCGAACATTTCTTTTCCGTACGATAGATAACCATTATGAAAGTCTATCCAACCCATTGATAAAAACTTAGTCAAGTAAATCTCGAACAAAATAGATTTTTTTTGTATTGTTTTGTTTTTTTATATATTTCTCATAGAATTATTAGTAACAGTTTATATTCAGCTCACATTTTTGAACAAGGACGTAGGATGAATTTGATGAGTTTTACTCAGGAGAATTGTTGTCTTTTTCTTCAATATATTCTATCTTTAGAAATCTAACCTTGAATGTTATCATTAAATGCACAATCATGTTTTTGATATTTTTCAAGAAGCTTTTTTTTGTATTGTTGACTAGCAAAATCTTCAAGTTGTATAAGACAATGCCAGCCGAAACTAGAAAAATACTTTTTTTTTTTGTATATTTTTATCGATTGAATACTTATTTAATTTACCGTTGCACGACTGCTTGCATAAATTTATTAATGAATTCGTCATATTCTTTACCCACAACACGTTTTTGTCGTAGACCAATATAAAGAGGATTAGATGCAATCTCCTTGTAACAAGAACAGAAAATTATTTTCTTTTTTTTTTTTTGTCTCGTAAGAATTGCTATCTACTAACTTCATTATTTGTACCAACATCAAGCATAATAGGTAAGCAATGTCGTGGTAATATATCAGCAATAGCTAAAAAAAAATATATTAAAATATTATTTTATTTTTATGATTTATTCGATCGAAATATCTGAAACGTGATTTCAATTAGTTTCGCAATGATCTTATGAAATTTATTTCAGAATTCTTTGAATTAGAAAGAAATTATTATGAGTTGTATCCGTTTCGATTATTTTATAAGATTCTTATTCAAAGTTTCCAAGTAGTATAACAATATTCATATCTCTTATTTCAACATGAAATAACATAGCTATTAAGATTGATGTTATCATCTGTTTAATATAGGACAAATATTTGAACTTTATTAAATTATTAATAGTTAATAATTATTATTGCGCTTGTACTATTTATAGAAATTACATAATAGATACTGAAATATAGTTTAAGATTGATAAGATATATTTTTTTCTGCCTTTAAGCGTTTAACAATATAAAACGGAAAATACCAATCATAGTTTCCGTATTATTTATATAATCATGTTATAGGTAATGACATGTATTTGTATTCATGCTATGATGATTTGAAATATAAAGTTTGAAATATCTTTTTTCTTTTTATAATGGAATACTTAGAAAAAATATATTTCATTTTATTATAATATAAGAATAAATGCGTAAATTGTCATTTAAATTTAATTACCTGTATATAATTGTAATTTACCAAAAGCACCTAGTTTTCCCAGATTTAAAATTCATTCACCATCTGTAATTACAATTGCTTTAACTTGTTGTTCTGTCCAATTATAATAATACATCATAGATATGATCTTTATCATGTATTGTAATTAATATAAAATCGATCTGCAATAACTCAATTGAGATCATCTATTATTAATATAAATAGAAATTATTTCGAATATTTCATTTGTTATATAGATTTACCTTGCGCTAGATAAATATTTGTCATTAAAACGAAGAGCTTGAATATCTTGTGAAACAACTGTCGGTGGTAAAAAAAAGAAGCATGTATATTCATATGTTGTCTTTCTTCGAGTGTAAATCCTATACCGTAATCAAATAAACAATCTTTATTTATAATCTAAGATTTCTTTTTTTTTAAATACTTTATTTAATGATGGATTTCACAGTAATTCAATATCTTTGTTTGATGAACAAGGTCTAGTAACTGATTGACATTCATCAGTACTAGTAACTTTATATCTTTGTTGATATTTAACGTAATTAGTTTTATGATAAAATAATCGAGCGGAACAGACGTATCATTTTGTAATGAGAGATATTTCTTTTGTTTTTCTTTGGTTAAATATTATTGTTAATAATTATCGGACTATATGAATTAAAGATTAATAATCTGAAGAATAATTTAAAAATAAATAAAACTTTTTTTTATTTTCGGTTAGATTAAATATGTACTAAGAAAAACAAAAGTGCGACATTATGATGAGTTTCAAATGACCTACAGTGTATTTTTTTAAGAAATGACCTAAATTTATCAATTAAAACGAAGAATATATGAGGCAATGATTAATTATACTATGGTTTCATGATTAAGTATCAGATTTTTTTTTTGTTTTATCTCATTCATAGAAAATTTATTTACTTAATGGAACAGTTGTTAATCTCTGACAATATTTAATTCTTTGATTATAATCTAAGTCGCATCATTTTTATTCTTTTTTTTTTTTGTCAGAGATACACATTTCATGGATTTTATCAGTGTAGATATTTGCCATTTTGACCTAGACCATGTTTCTTAACTCTTCTATTGAAGACACAATGATGGATCGAATTTCTAGGCTAAGCTATTTTACCATTTATGATTATAAAAATCACAATAGCAGTAAATAATTTGACTCTCGTAGGTGGATATACAGTAATTAGCCCTTTGGCTATCGATGACACATAAATGTATTAAGAGCTTTATCATCATATAAAACTAATGTCATCGCCTAAAATGCATGTTTTTGAGACATATTTGCATAGAAGCAAATGTTAAGTGTCTGGAGGATAAGAAACAACAAGGTGCATAGTGTACAGTCACTCTGTTTTATCAATGTTTATTTCTTGTCGGTAATCAAGAAGTTAAGAATTGAACCATTGTCGTGCTATTTACTATTTAGAGGTTTGTTAATTTTTTATCTTTGTCTTCTCGTTTTAATCCAGATTTTAGAAGTTTTTTTTTTTATTACGTCAGTGAAAAATATTAGATAAATAAAAAATTTTAGGTTGAGTTCACTTCTCATATTCATTTTGAAGGATATCATCGTTGTCATTTTTTTTTTTTTTGTTTCTAATTTATAGAGATATGTCAAGAGACATCCATTGTTTAATCGAAGATGAAATGCATGTAGACAGTAAGACTGAGAGTCCCATGTGAGACATTTATTCATTAGGCGGTAATCAAGAATTTCCTTTCTTACGTGTTCACCTACGCATAAATCTTTTTACCTATATAGGCTTATACAATAAATAAAATGGAAGAACATTTAAGAAAAAAAAAAGATAGTCAAACAGATCTATGTGCTATGTAATAATGAATTTATTATAGTAAAAAAAAACAGATAGTATATATATATATATACAGAAAGAGAGAGATTTCTCTTCGTGATAAACATATTAAACGCATAATTAGAGCTTATTCTATTTGTCATGCATATTCATTAATTATATGAAAAAATAGAATCTGAGCAATGCTTAAAAAGATAGATCTTAAACATGCACAAAAACTCATGTCTTAAAAATTATGAAAAACTAATTACTTTTTTTTTTTTTTTGCTTTATTTTCTTTTCTATTTTGTAGATTGTTTTTCAAACAATTTTATAGCTTTCTTTTTCTTTTTTTTTTTTTTTTTTTATTCATTTATTCTCATTTGTTTTTCTTTTACAGTCTAAGAAACATCCGTAGGAAAACATATAATCCTTTCTTATTACTAAAAAACGATTATAATTATCTTATTTGGAAAGTTAAATATCTATTAAGAAACAACAACAACAATAACAACAAAAAATACCCCATGTCGATCATCAAAGATAAACTTGCTAATCGTATATCATGGATCATATTTATTTTCCTTGCTATTCACACGGCTCAGGTTCTTTCGGGTTTCACTGATGTTCCACGTAAGTTATTTAAAAAAAAGAAAGATTCAATTAAATATTTAATTTATTTTGCTTTTTTTTCTTTCTTCAGCTCCACCTCCACGACCAGAGCGTTTTCATTCTCGTGAAGAACTTAAACGTTATTTACAACTCGTATGTTTATATCCATTTTTTTTGTTTGTTGATTTTGTAATTTTCATCGAAAAAAAAAAACAAAACTAAAATTTTAATTTAAGGTACATGAGTATTATGCTATTATTGGTCGACCACGTTTTGGTCGTTCTATTCAAAAATTAAAAATAAATCCAAGTGATGTCAGTCTCTTTAATTTCTTCGATAAGAATGGCGACAAATCAATATCATACGAGGAATTTTATGGCCGACTTGGAGCATAAAAACAATAGTGTATGTGTAGTATTACACAGTATACTGTTATCGATTAACATTTATTTATTTTTTTATTGTGCTTCTCTTTTTTTCTTTTTTTCATCTATAGATGAACTTATTTTCACTTCGGTGATGATGATGATTCATGTTATATCAAAGTGGCCTTCAATTCTTTGTTTGCTTCTTCTATAATGCTTGTGTATCTATCATCTTCTATTCAAATACAATAAAATTGACCGTGCCTGATCTATATTGATTCATAGAAAATATGTAGTAGATACCAACAATAGACAGATTTTCCCTTGGGAATATATAACATGGGAGACAACAAAAAAAAATATATATAATTGCAATCAATTCTTTTAGTATATATTGTCACTATCAAAAACATGTTTTTTAGAAACAATAAATTATATATTTTTTGAAAATCTTTGTAGTCAAGTATTACACTATATTTTTATGCTTCATTTTGTAATTCTTTGCTAAAAAATATATTGAATTATCTTCATTATTAGATTGCAATTTGATACTATCTTTTCAATATGTTTAAAGAGAAATTGAAATTCTCTCTCTCTCTCTGATCATATATTTCTTTAAAAAAATAATTTGAGTATATTGAATATACTTGGTACGAAAAATCCATATTTTTAGTTTTTTACATAATTTATGGTTAATATTAGAATAAGATTTCTTTTTTGGAATAGTAATTATCCAACATTCTGTATTTTATAAAGTATTCAGCTTTCAATTATATTATTTCCTGACTAATATTATAAATAATTTTCAAGAATTTTGCATATAACTTTCATAATTATATTTTTAGACTGCTATGTAAATAATTATCTAAATATTTCATATGATTGACCTATAATTCGGCAATATGCTACTACTGAGTGTATCTCTGATAAGTAATCGTTTATTTATAGTATCTTTTGATAGAACTCAGAATATATATATATATAGAAGCAAATGAAAGATCTATTTGTGTTATCTCGAAACCTTTTGTTTATAGTACTATTGAGAGTGAATATTTCTTTTACATGTTATTAGAATGGATGATTAATTTTCCAAAAAATTTATTTCTATATTAGTCATAAATTATTTAAAGAATAAAGAAATTAATGAAAAAATGCAGATTTTTGGTACTTGCCAATTACGAGTACGTTCCATGTATTGAAATTAGTTTTCAAGAAAATACATTATTATTTCTATAATGATGATAAATTAAACAAAAAAACAAGACAAAGAATAAATCGATTGAAACTATTTTTTTCTCGTGTCAAATATAAACATAACATTCAAATAAATGAATAAGTTGGTGTTATGTTTTCATATTTAATGAGAAAAAAAACTATTAAAAAGAATAGAAATTCAAAGTATGTATGCATTAACTAATCAATATTATGATTCTAAGTTTTAAAAAAGTCAGATCTAATTAATTCGATTTATTTTTTCAAACATACGGAATTTCCTAGTAGAAGAAAATCGCTCAAATTTATTGAATATAAGCAAGAAAATATACAATTATGATTATTGATTCTTCTACTTTGATCCTGAAAACTTCTTCTCGTAATCTTCTACTCTAGTGTTTTCTTCGGTGAAAAAAACAAATCTTTTATGTTGACATTCAACACATTACTCTATCCTTTCGTATGATTCATTTCTGCGACGTATTAATTATATTCAATACGATATTATTAGGCAAACAAAAGTTTGTTAAACGATTTTTATAGCATTTAACTTTTCTGAAATACAAATGCAATTTGAAATCTTGTCTTCCAGATTCAAAAGTAGATTTTCTTTATCTTTATCTTCGACAGTTCAAAAAGTCACATTTTTGTGACATATTGAAATTCGAAATAGTTCAAGTACAAAAGATAACTCATATGTTGATGTAATGTTCAAAATTATTGTTATTTGTATAACTTTGTCTTAGCTAATTTGAAAAAAAGTATTTTAAAGATAAATAACATCAAATATGAAGATATCAATAAACGAATATTATAATCATACTGAATAACCTTACTAAATATTCATAGATAAGTATTAGGTTCTAAATGGAACGATCTAACAGTGTAAAATATTTTTAATAATAAATAAACTGTTTCTATCGTAGTTCAATTCTAAAAAATCTTTTATTGTAAATCGATATTCGTTTATTATTAAAAATGTTTTTCTCTTGTGTCGTTCAATTATGCATAAGCGCGTGTGTGTGTAACTAATAATTAACAAACAGAAAAGGAACAAAAAAATTGTACGGTGAATTGTAAATAGGATTGAATTGTTAGACTTCTATGAATGAAACTATAAT